TGGGGGCTTTGAATAATATCAGTCGGTAAGACTTGGGTGAAGTAATTTATGGTAATGGGTGGGATTTGGAATTCTTGAGGGATGTATTATGTGGAGTTCTTATTTGAGTGAGACTGTCTGTTAAGATTTTTTGAAAATACTAGTGAATGGAAATTAATTAATTTCTGGCTAATTGTCGTGTCGCAATGATTAAGAATTTAAGAAAGGAAAAAGGAATTTTCACTGTCCAAGAGCTATTAGACAGACTAAAGTCATGAAATAGGCCCACTGTTTTAGTAACAGTATAGTAACAGTATAAGTCTGAAGACAATTAGCTTTTTATAATATATACAATCGAGTAATTACACTATATACAAATCCTTCAACTGACAGTCATCCAACTTATACCGCCTTCTCAGGTTTAGGAACAAATTATCATATCCCTATCAGTTAAATGATTTAGAGTGAGTATTTAACGCCTGCTCTTTTAAGGCAATGGTTGATAAATTGAATGAGAATTAGATTATTTTTGAGAATTTTAATAAGGAGCAAAATTTCGCTTTGTAAATCTATTGTATCTGTGCAAATAATTTTAATTCGTTGTATTTGATTAATTATAGTATTGTTAATTACTTTTTTGGATATGTTGGAGTTCCAATTTATTAATTTGTTAGTATTGAAATTGAAGTTTCTTGTTTTGTCAAAAAGTAAAATTTTTTTGTAGTTAATGATTTGAAGATCTGGAAAGTCTATGCTATTTTGTGAATTATTAGTTTTATTAAGTGTAAGACAATTCGGATAAATCTCGGAGTGTTCAATTTTACCAAAATTATTAATTGTAATAAGGTCATCAATATATCTGTAGGTGTGTTTGTAGTAATTTAACTCTTGTGGTTGTAGAGCTTTTTGGAAGTTAAATTCTTTGACAAATAAAAAGATATTACAGATCGAGGTGCTGGAATGTAAGCCCATTGGCAATCCTCTGACTTGTTTAAAAAGTTGATTTTGAAACTTGATGTAGTTATGAAAAAGTATGCATTTTAGGTAGGTTTTCCATTTGTCAAGAGTCATGATATTGAGCATATCAGGGAAGAGTTTAGGTAGATCAAGTAGACTGGTATATATTTCTTCTAGAGGAAGTGAGGTATATAAGTTTTCAAAGTCATAGCAGTTAATGTTTTGGATGTTAATGGTTTGAATGGTATTAATGACAGGAGTGTTATTATGAATGATCCAGCAATAGTTATGATTAGTGTTACAATCATTGAAAATAAATTTACAGATTAAGTTGAATTGAAAAATAATAGTCTACATTTTTCTTGTAATTATTAGTTCCATTAGCTATAAATCTGAATTTTAATGGTGTTTTATGGAATTTGGGAATCGCATAAAGATTAGTAAATCTTTTGTAGTTTGCATTGAAAGTAATATTGAGTTTCTTATGAAAAGTTTTAATCCTGTTTATTATAGATGTTTCTGTAAGGTTGGCCAATTGATAAGTAGTTGCGTTGAGAAGTTCTTTATGAATAATTTCAGCGTAGAATGGTTTTCATATAATGCTATAAAACCACATGTAACAACGACAACATATTCTCAGAACACTTGTCAGAAGTTATTAGTTGCTTTATCTATTTCTGTAATAGTAAAAAGCTGTTTTAATTTATTAATATCTGATGTAAGTTGCGACCAATTCAGTGTACTTTTAAACTTGAGGTGACTGATTTCGGTGGATATGCGTTGAAGAATTTTAGCTTTCCATTTTAAGAAGGTATCTATGGGTAAATTCAGTTGATAGCTTGCTTTAACTATAAATTCGTTGATGTTGTTTTCGAAAGTCTTGTAACAGTAATTTGTAGTCATGTTTCTGACTGGTCTAAATTTTGTACCATAACTCATTAGTGTTTTTAGTTGATGGTTTTGTATGATATTCAGGTTGCCAGTAATTATGTGCTGGTGATGAGAATCTACGTAATTGCTCAAACCCTTCTTTTATTATTGCGAATTAAATCATGTTTAATCCCATTCTAGAATTTATTCGAGGAAATAAGTTTTAGGATTCACTTCGTAATTTTTAATATAGATATTTTGAGTTTTTATGTATTTTTGCCTTGTCGGGAAGTGAGAACTGAATTAATTGAAAGAGATTACTGAAAATACTGAAAGTCTGTAAAAAACTGTTTCTTTTTTTGTTTTGTTTCCTTAATTTCTTTTATAAATCGTTTTAGATTTATTTGAATAGAACATGTGGCAACGATTAGATAATTATTCAAATGCTGTAAATTTATATGCTAATTAATTATAATATGAACGAAATGTGACGCTGTTAAGTGAATTTAGAGCTAGAGTGTCGCTATAAGTAAACAAATCGAGCGAATTTTAAAGAGTGCATCTATTCTATTGTGGTTTATGTGCTATCGACGGAGTAGATTTAATTCAATCCAATAACTTAAAATAAAAACAAAGGGAAAATGCGTATAATTTAATATTTCGTGCAAGGAAGTTATGTGGTGTACACATCAGATTTTTACTGGTGATACTTGAGCAGTTTTATATGTTTGGTTTGATATTTCCTATAAAACCACATGTAACAACGACAACATATTCTCAGAACACTTGTCAGAAATTACCGCACACCCCTGCGTGATTCTGTGGTGTAAGTAGGTCCAAATAGGTAAGTAAACTGTAAGGACTCACTGAGCATTCGAAGCGGAAATTTAAACCAGCATTGCCCTTTCAAGGTCTCGAAAATGGATGTGCTAGCATTAACGCCACGAGAATAGTCATTGTGGAATGCGATAACCCATTACATTCTTTCTTGCATAATGGTCGACGGGGGAAAAGACACAAGACCCAGTAGATAATTAGCACATTATGACAAAGTATCATCTATCGTACTTTACTATTCCATTGGTAAGCCAAAACAGATAATTCCTGTAATGACGTTTTAAAGGCAGAAATTATTTTCTCGAGTTGTAGCATCCTTTTACAGACACTATTTAAACACGAGGAAAAAAAATACAAATTAATTTAATAAATAGAAATAGACAATGGGCTTTTATTCGTATTTTTTCTCTTTCACTGAAAACTGGTATTACACCACGTTTCAAGTAATACTTCTAAATTTACTTTTAAAGGTAAATTTAGAAGAAAATTGGGGCAGCTATGGTTGAAAATCTAAGAACTCACGTAAGTTCCTCACAGCCAATCATATTAAATACCATTTGTTTGACTGGTTATAATTTTTAAACATATTATTTGATTAACACTGTTTTAAAGATTAACACTGTTTGTACCTTATGATTACAATGACACCTCCTTACAAATCACACACTGTTATTACAGTACTACCGTAGTATTGTGACAGCAGTGTCCCCATATTTTCCCTCGTCGTTCCGGTTCTTTACATATGATTATATAACTTTACATATTACTACTTTACTTACTCCGAGGACATTACGCTTTAAGCACTAGGCGTTTTATCCCAAAGCAGGGCGTCCCAAAGCAGGGCGGCCCAAAGGGCTATTATTCTGAAAACGGCATTTTGCGTCGTTTCACTTTCTGCGTTGATTCACTTTTCAAACTCTTGCCACCAAATAGTGTCGCCATGTATTATATTTAAAGAAACTAAATAATGAAGAATTTGCATGAATGTTTCTCGCGTTGTGAAAAAGCATCGGTACCTAGAGCCATCCAATTTTGAATAACGTAGTCCTCCAACCAAACGTGGACACTTGGAAGCCCGAATTTTGAATTTCGAATTCATTTTTTTATCTAGTTTATATTTTGTAAAACTTTAACGAATTTTTGATTCTATTGATTCTCAACTATTTTTAAGCGATCAGTGCCAACACTGTACGAAAAAAAATTGTAACTGCACGAAAAAAAAGAAAAAACCATTTTAATTTTTTCATAACATATTGGTCATTCAACAAAAACAAAACTGTAAGGATTCCACCTAAATGTCACTACACCAAGAGAATATGATATCATCGGAACGTATGTCCAATCGCAAGTACGGATTTTTCCCTATGCATGAGGCTCTGTACAGAATGCTTATACGCTTTAGGTACTGCTATCAAAATTTAAATGAACGGTATGTAAATGTATTTTCTAGCCAAGCTCAAGGCCTTACTAAGGGTAGACAAAATGATGTCATTCGAAGCCGTATCCAATCACGGAGATGAAGTTTTCCCTATGCACCTGGCGCGGTACTGAAGGCTTATATTCCGCCGGGACTTGAACCTGGACCTCTCGAATACGCGCCGAGTGTGTTAACCATTACACCACGAAGGCATGTTGAAAGGAGGGAGAAAATATCTTATATACTTCCCCTTTTAAATGCCGAATGGGGATTAGACGATCCAATTGCTAAATCCTAGTGGGGAAGAATCATGATCCACCACCTGTTTTAGTTCGGGCGTCACTGTACAGGCATTAAGTTATTTTGATGCAGGAGTACATGAAAAATGAGCAATGCCGTCGCCGGGACTCGAACCTGGGCCTTTCGAATACGCACTGAGTGTGCTAATTATTACACGACGAAGGTATGCAGAAAGGAGCGAGAAAATACCTTATAGCTGTACCTTATAGCTTTAGTTCTTAAACGGAGGAGCTTAGGGGAGCTCCTCCGTTTAAGAACTAAATTAGACTCTTCGCAGAGAGGCTGGCTCTTGGCTGTTACCAGAGCTTTTACGACGGTCTCGACGGAGGTTCTGTGCATACTTGCCGGTGTGCCCCCTCTCTCGATTTTTTACCAGTTTTATTTTGAAAAATTTTTACTAAGTAATGGATTGAGAGACTCTTTTAATTATAATGATTTTAAAGTTTGTGCCAATTTTATTAAATATTTTAATCCAGAGAGTGTTTCTCCTATGGACTATTGTAGCATTAGTTTTGATTGCAATAAATTGGACCTACAGGAAATTGAAATTTATACGGATGGCTCTGGCTTCGAGGGGGGAGTCGGTTCAGCCTTTGTTGTCTATTTTTATGGACTTGAGATACATGTAGAGAAATTTAAAATGTCTGAACATAATTCAGTTTATCAGGCTGAGATGGCTGCTTTGAGGGAAACTCTTAACTGGATATTAAGAGAACTTACTAAGAGACACTGTATACATATATACTCAGATGCCCTATCTGTGCTAACGGCTCTCTCCCGGCCAGAGCCTAAAAATGAAATTTTGGAAGACATTAAAGATCTGTTTAAAAGAGCATTAGGATATCATGTTATCCATGTTCACTGGATTAAGGCACATATTGGACATCCTGGCAATGAGAGGGCGGACGCACTGGCAAAGGAGGCTGCCCTGGGGGATGGTATGGATTATTTTGATGTAAGACCGGCTAGAAGAAAGATGATCTCAATTATGAAGAATTTTTACTATGATAAATGGAAGCAGGTTTGGTCTACCTCTATTAAAAGAAATAGGTTCTTGAATTTTATTGAAGTTTCAAACAGAATGAAATGTTATATGAATATTGATGCCAACCAGATTATAACCAATCATGGAAGATTTCCCTTCTATTTACATAGATTCCATCTCCAGGGCAACGATAAATGCCTCATTTGTGATAAGATCGGTGACGCAGATCACTTCGTCGAGTCGTGTATTCTTACCCGGGGTGTGAGGCTTAAGTATGGAGACAAGAAGATTGAAGAAATGATCGTAAATAGTAACAGATTTAAAGATTTTGCTCAAGAAATAATGAAAATTATTAATGGCAATAAAGAAAAGATCGGAATTGAGAGTTAAGATCTTCTGACCTATTCAATAATAATTTTGTGCTCATTCGAAGGCTGATCAAGATTTTACAAGAAGTTCTTTTTATGTTTTGTATGAATGGTTCTGTGTTGTTTTGTCTTGGTTTCATGTTATTACTAACTTTGTGGATTTTATTATTTTCCTCAGTTTCATTTTTGTGTGAATGATGGATTTTTGTTTTAACTTAGGCTTGCAACCATTTGCTCTCGTAATTTTGTGTTTGTTATGTTTCCTTTTTTAACCTTTTTTGTTACTCGGGTCTCGGGCTTTGGTTTCTCGGTTGTTTAAATATTAAGTCTTTTCAGGTAAATTTTGAATTGTGGTTTTCCTTGTGTAAATTTTGAGCACGGCCGGCTCGGTGGCTTCTCGTTTTTGTGTTGGACGGGCCTGTCCCATTTTGGCCATGTGGCTGATTTAAACCGGCTGGGGGGGGGGCCGGGGCTGCGCCCATTTCTCTAACCATTTCTCTAACCTTATAGCTGTTTTTAAATAGTTTGTGATACTGCTGCTGAATTGAATTTTATGTGGTTTAAGCTAGAAGAACATGATACTTAATAAATAAAGGTAACACACAAAACGTTATAAAAAAGCCCTTTTTGGCGTAATATAAAATACGAAAGCTTTCAGGTTTTTATTTATTTATTTATTTTTACTTTCTTTTATTTCATCTACGGAAGCAATAAGCTGACGAGCACCTAACCCAATGAACCAACTGGAATTGTATTCTATCGATGGTAACACGGAAAAAGAAAAGCATCTTCTTAGTAGACAGGTATTTTTGGGGCCTCGAGCAATTCCTGTTCTTTTCCCATATATTCCTATCCATTCCCGAATAACAGTTGTCAAGCTATTTTTTTTTAAATCTTACTTCGGATGTTAGTCACAATGTGACATTAGATTATATAGTCACAATTAGACCAATGACCTGAATAAAGTTAAATCCGCTATTTCGAAAAGCGAAGTTAATTTAATAAATTAAAAAAAAAATTGGAAAGGATTCATATTTTAACGTCGTACTAGAGGGTTTATTAAGGTCTTTTATGCTCTCTCTAGCTTGTTGTTTACCAGGCTGCTCTTGGACTCACTCCAGCTACCACACATAATTTTTGCTTTTTTAACTAAATTAAATTAAACATCGCTTTCTTCATACTTACGTTACATAAAATTAAAAAATAACATGCAAGAATATTTTACAGCAGCATATTTTTTGAATTCCTCATGGTGGTTCTATATCCCCCATAGCAATTGTTTAGAATTCTCCATAGTTTACAGCAGGGGTTCTCAACCGGTGGTACGCATACCACCGGTTGAGAAAAAGTAAACTTCCGATTTCTAGGAAGGTAGATAGATATACATGCTTTTGGAGTACCATTGTACCTGCTGTAACTTTGTCCTTTGGCTCAATGTACAGGGCGGATTTTATTAACTAAGGCAAAGCACTCGAAGACTGTCTGCAATTAAATTACGTACCTTCAGAAGAGCGCTTAAGGAAAGTTGTCTTCTATTTACTCATGCATCAAGTAGTATCGAATCAAACTACCATGGACCACTTTTTGAACTAAAAAGTACCAAATAAAACTTAAATAAAAACCATTTAAATTTCAAAGTTTTTGCTGCACGTATTAAAAATTAAAAATATTTTTTTGCTGTTGAAACGCTCGAGACAGAAATACCTAAAAATCAAAGCATAGCTGTCCAATAAATTAACTGCATTCGAACATAAAATAATTTTAAAAAGCAAATATCTAACATAATAACATGGCAATTTAAATCTCGTTTTGTCAGTTTGAATTCGCCACTGTTTTAGCTCTCTAAGATTTTATTTTTGATCACGTATAAAACAAAGAATGTTAGGGTAACTAAAATTAATTTGAAACAGCTTTTATATGGTATAATGAACTCATTAACGCTAACTAAAAGCTGTTTTTGAATTTTGTTTCAGAGAGATTATTCAAAATCGAGCAGCCGGAAAACATTACATTCTCTGCATTAAGCAGTAAGTATTAATTAAAAATATTTCAAAAGATAACCGGTTTTAAAGACAAAGTTTTTCTCAAACTGCGTAAAAATAAATTACGTTATCAATTTTAATGAAAAGAAGGATAAACAACATTTTTCTTTAAATTAAAACTTACTTCACTGTTTCATTAAAAATGTAACTTTTCCCAATAAAATATAATTCTTACGATTATTAAAACTAATTATTTCATTAAAGTGCGTAGGATGTGTGCCATCTTGTAGCGAATTCAATTCTAACCCTGTTTTGGAAACATTAAGAAAGAAATTTATCTAATGTCCGTCGTCTATAAGAACTGCATTGTATCCAAACGATATATTATTAAAGTAAAAAGTCAACAGATGAAGCGGGTTATTAAATTATTAGGATTTTTGCTAGATATCGAAGGAAATAAAATTTATTAAATGAAAGAACTTCCTATGACAACATAGAGGAATCAAAACTTGTGTTAAATATACTGAAAATTCCTACAAGAGGCAAAATGATAATTTGCCATTCGTTTTACAAAGCCATTATGATACGAAATGTACGTAAATTAAAATGGCTACGATAAAATAGGAATACTATTGAAAAGGCGATAACTTTTAGACGTACCGCGTCTCTGCTATGTTTTGTTTTAACAAAGCGTGTTTTAACAAAACTTTGTTTTCAATTTAACAAAGCGAATTAAATCAATTTCCACTATCGCGATACTTAATATATGTAAGGCCCACCAGCGGCCGAGCGGTAACGTCGCTGAACACTGGTAGTTTGGTCCAAGGTTCGATTCCCGCAAACGGGCTGGCTGCATGGGCGTTTTCGTGGTTATCCCCATGTGTAACGTGTATACGAGCAAGTTTCCCTTAGAAAGTCCTCCACGAAGGCATCCCTCCCTTAAGGCAGATAGCCCTAGAGTGCTTTGCTGTAATTTAATAAAACCAAGCCATTAATATATGTAAATATTTTATTAAACAGATTGAATTAATCATAATATATAATAAATATGGACAAGATTGTAATTCTTAACATCAGAATTACTTTATAAATAAACTTCAGCTTAGATATGCTCACTTTAAGTGCATTTGAACTTATAAAGCTTATATATATATTTAAATATTTAATATCATTAGCGATTATATACTCCAGGTATGATTAAATTTTGTGATCAGATTACTTTAACAATAACGGCTAAATTTCTAATTTATTTACTTCCCCAGTAAAATTACCTTGTGGGTAACGCATGAATTTTTAAAGCAATATTTCGCATTACAAAATTCTAAGCATATTGTAGGAAATTATTATACACGTATATATTTCTCCATATTTATTCCGCATTATTGTATATTTTATTTATTCATATTACGTAGTTATATATATTGTTCCTATTCCCTACGTAAGCGATAAATTCTACGGAAGTTTATCGCTTACGTAGAGAATTTGAAACAAACACTATATAATAGAAATTTAGCAAAGTTTTTGTAAACTATGCACAACAGACGTAGGGGAAAATTTTGCAAACATTTAAAAAATTTTCAGAACGTAGCGCTGAAAGGCTAGGAAGAAAAACATACAAGGATATACCGTATACCGTATTTGCCACAAGTATAAGAAAAGAAACTACATCATTTTAACTCAACATTCCGCAAATTTTTCTGTTACCACATTTTTTTCTCAAAGATGAATTATTAATAATGTTACATTACATCGCCGGCAGGGTATTGTATTCGAAATTTTTTCATGCTTCTGAGAAATCGGATATAAGATAAGGAAAGAAAAAGATGTTAGCCCTTCGGATGGGAAATTCGTATGAATAATATATCTTATCTGTAACCTTATCGGCATTCCCCGTTTTTTACTTCAGGAATTCGGCAATAGATGACAGTGTTATTTCGTTACGAGATTGCGGATCAATAACATATCGTGCAAATTCCATTCAAGATTATGTAATAAATGTTATGATACGTGAATCAACTCTACATCATAAAGTAATCGATATAAATCTATACCGTAACTATACAGTATGGTTCCGCCTATCTTAAAGAAATCTGCCTGTATTTATTTATGGTGGCTAAAATTTTATATGTCGTAAATTTATTGAAATGCAGTTGAGCTATAATTACGTAGATTGATACATGCGTGCTTTTATCCATATGTGTACTGTATATATGAATAATGTTTCATCAATGCTATTATAAATGTACATATTTCTATTACTTTGTGATAAAATGCGTTTCCCTTACTGCGATACTGAAGCGCCCAGATTCGAATCCCGAAGAAGGCATGGATTTTTGTAATGTATAGCCTTTGCGGCATGACTCACTCTAAATACATGGCGAACCGAAAGTCCTCTCGAGAGATTGGAGGAAAGGAAAGAGACCCTTTGGACCCGTCTCCCGGCGTACTCTCCAGCTAAATTGGGAGACGTCCTACTATCATACATGACACTCGTCTTCAAATATGCGATCCCATACATCTGGTGTAATTAAACATTGAACATTGAGCTTATCTGTCACGCAAAAGAGCTTCAACGCGCGAATTAGACAACTATTTGGTTTTTTTGTAATAAATGGGAATAGTTGCTAACGTGCTTCTATGACGCGCCAAATGCAGAACTTAAAATGATTTTACCCTTACTTTCTTTTTAAATCAGGAATTAAGGTAGTGTTCAAAATGGTATTTCCGTACCTGAATCTTTTATAGCTTCTACTTGCTTCCCGCAATATAAATAGTAATTTTTTCCAAGGAAAAAAAATTAAGTTTTCCGCTGAACACTCGCGTTTTGTAAATGTTTAGAATTACATTTGTAACAACCGCATTGTCCTCGGTTTCTTGAGTGTTAACTTTCGATTTGCCGGAAATTATCGTTCTGTTTAGTGGACCTCTCAAATTTATTTTCGCCTGTTCGGGCAATACTTGCCAAATGTAAACTGTACACACATAACATTCTCGCGGTTTGAACGAATGTTGTGTTCATTTACCCTGAACTTTTCCCAGC